GATGTTAGACCCAATCCATCACCTTGGCCTGCGTCTAGCCACAGGTGCTTTTCGCACGTCGCCCGTGCCGAGTCTGTATGCTGAAACACATCAGATGTCCCTTGAGCGACGCAGACAATATCTTAGTCTCTGCTATGCCTACAAAGTTCATAGTGATCCACACCACCCTGCATTCTCTGCTCTGCAGACCTCTGCATCATTGCGCCTTTTTGAGAATAAGCCCAGTATTGTTCGGCCCTTGAGCCTTCGGGCTGAGAGCATGGCAAGGTCGCTGCACCTTTGTTTTGATGAGCCTCCTTTGTTGAGACAGGCCTATAGGGTTGCTCCTTGGGATTTGGTGCCAATCTCTTGTGATTGGTCACTTTCGAAGTACAGCAAAAAGGTTGCTCCTCGTCTTGTTCTCTTGCGGGAGTTCGCAGAGCTAGAGCTGAAATATAGTGACTATCTCCACTTTTACACTGATGGCTCGAAAACATTGAATTGCGTAGGCTGTGCAGTTTATTCTCTCGCTTTCAGTGAAGTGAGGCAACTCAACCCTCTAGCAACTATCTTTACTGCTGAACTGTATGGTATCCTGATGGCTATTGAATATATTCTAGAAAATAACATTAACAAAGCAGTTCTGTTTGTTGATTCCCAAAGTGTTCTCTTAGCTATTTCATCTTTAGCAGACAGCAAGAACGCTCTTGTGCAACAGGTTCGTTTTCAGATAAACAAAGCTTTCCATCTAGGACAATTTATAAACTTCTGCTGGGTGCCCAGTCATGTGGGCATTCCCGGTAACGAGAATGCAGACCATCTTGCTCTTTCTGCAAAAAATTACACGGAAACGTCTTTTGGCCTGCCGCACCAAGACCTCAAGCCAGCCTTAAACAAGTCAATTATTAAGTTATGGCAACAGGATTGGGACACACAGATAGATAACAAACTTCACATTATTAAGCCCAACTTAGAAGTGTGGGAGAGTTCCTCCCATAAGGACCGCCGTTCGGAAGTTCTTTTATGCCGCTTGAGAATTGGTCATTCTCGATTGACTCACCTGCACTTGCTCTGCGGTGAAGATGTAAAGCTCTGTGAAAAGTGTGGGAAAATGTTAACTGTCTTTCACATCCTGTGGAATTGTAGATTTTTGGATCATCAACGTCGAAGATATTTTGCAGAACTTTTCAGAAACCACCTTCCATTTCATCCTTATTTTTTGCTTGGTGATAGACCTTTGGTACCATTTGCTCGCGTTTTAAGTTTCCTACATGCAATTGGCCTTTTGCACTTGATATAGATAAGTAAAGTTAGATGTAAATGCAAAGCTCCTTAAATTAACTTTCTTGGCGCAATATGGCCGTAGTCGCTCTTGCGCCATTAAACCCCAATCATCATCATCAACTACTTCGGTTTCTGTACTCTCGAGCAGGTCGTCTTCTGAGATCACCCCCTGAATTCTATTAAGTGTTCTATGAGGTGTGACAGTGACTGTAATCAGTCACGCTGTTTAGTGCTAATAGTGAATCACTGTTGCTTATTGTGTATCTCCACTAGGAGATCACCAGATGCCACCTTTTTCCATTGTAGTTCTTCCCAATCACTTCTTAGAGAACTTTTGAGAGGAGGAAAGGGGAGAACTTGTTTAGCGGTTTTTCATCCTCAGACTAGTGCATGACAAGAAACTTGGGGAACTTTGAAAATGTGTATGTTGGTTTTTTTATTCGTAGTGCTTTGGTGCGGTCCCTTTTCGGGGCCCGATCAAAAGGTTTTTTTTTTGCTCGAGAACCCATATAAATGGGAGAAAGGTCCAGTGCCCAGCTGCACCGCCCACCATGGAGCCCAACAAGGAGCCCAACAAGGGGGTAGGTAATGTGCCATAGCAAGATGGGCTTGGCTGACACAATTACTCTACCAGTGCTGCCCGGGCACTATACCCTAGTGTGGTTGCAGGGACAGGACCTGTTTCCTCTCACGGTTGGCCCTTGCCGCCTAACAAGGTGAAAAAGGAAGGAAGAGAGTGTAGAAGAAAAGGGAAAGAGGTGGAAGGAAAAGTGAAAGAAGGAAGGAAGAGGGTAGAAGAGGCAACTGGCTGAATCATCCTGGTCGAGCCAAGCCAGGACAACTGTCTACGAGAAGCAGGCGCCGAAGCAGTGTATTGCCTCGTCCGGGGGGCCCCGAAGGGTCCAAATATACCCCGGGCTCAGCTCAACCACCAGGGTCCCCTTTTCCCCGAACACGGGTATGCCACGCACAGCCAGACGTGGGTGGGCGAACCCACATGGCTCGGGGTTCGTAGTGACGCCACTCACCAAGCACCTAGCACCTAAGGTGCAGGTGCCCCCTGCAGGGCTCGGGGTCCTTGGAGACGCCACTCTCCAAACACCTGCTGTCACAGGTGCCCCCTGCGGGGGACCTTTGATGAAAAAGCACACACTTCATATTGCTCTCCTAAAAAAAAATAATTGCTAGTTTTAGCATATAGGTTGTATTCGGGAAGCGGTGCATGCTGGGACCAGCGCCATCTTGCCGTCCTCGAGAGCAGACAGCCGCGCGCGCACTCCCGTAGCGCCCAGCGACAGGTGACGGACGCGTTACGCACGCACCGTTGCAGTGCGACGTATTTATGGTGTTTGCTCGCCCGCTAACGTGAAGATGTCTTCTTCAAGTGGTTGTCCACCGCTGGGTTTATACGGCCTAAGTTTAAGCGGACGGGAACGCACACGTTACGAGGAGAAGGTTAAAATGTGCGGCGCGGATCCGTTCGCGCTGCCGCCGATGGACTTAGTCCGGAACAGCAACCTATGGCCGCAGGTAGAAATGGGTGACATACACAACTACCTGATCCTCAAGACAAGTTTCGTGACGCGCAAGCAGCTAAAAGCGTACAAATCATTAGACGCCCATAATTACCTTACGAGCGGATGGGTCCAGGAGCCGGCAATGAAAGCAGCGAACGCGGACAGCGTGATCATCGTCTCGAAGGTGAGCCTAACTTTTCATGTTTTTGCGGACGCGTATCTTCGCTTAATTTCGTTTGAAACGGCGAAACGGTCTGTTTCAGGAGCGTGTAGTAGCCAGTGATAGTGATAGCGCGAAGGAGATGATGGTGGCCTAGCGCGTCTTAGATCGGAGCATGTGGAAAGCTCGTGCTGCAGGACCCAAACATCGTACCGGTGTGCAGTCGTGCATCGCTACTGCGTGGTGCACCTAGTAAAGACTCCAGGCTAGCGGTCGCGCTGCACTGGCGAAATTTTTTAACAGCGTGCGACATTGTCGCCAAAACCAGACAGTCTGGATCTGTCTAAAACAAGGATCTTTTTTGTTTTAATGCCCGAAATTCACTTCGTCATGCGTGCAGCGTGGGCGGATGTGAGGAATGCAATCGTTTTTTTTTTTGTTTTGTCGCGTAGTATGTGCGAATCTAACCAAAGCACTTTTTATGCATGCAGGTAAACCACTCTCAAAGCCTTTCCAGCACGCCTTTGAAGGTCTGGCTTCTGGTGAAACAGGACGGAGAGGTGACCGCTGCCCATTGCACATGCATGGCAGGAACAGGGGAGGCCTGCTCTCACATCGCTGCCCTGTTGTTCTACCTGGAAGTGGGGGTTCGGCTGCGGAATGAGAGATCTTGCACGGATGACGTCAACACTTGGTTGCCCCCCCATGTGCAGAAGTTGGCTGCCTGTCCCATCAGCAGTCTGGACTTTTCATCATCTTCAATGAAGAAGCGTCGCCTCGACGAGTCTGGTGGTTCCAGTTCGCAACAAAGACAGCCACCTCGTGTTCAACATGCACCAGCTCCCAGTGAGGAGGAGTGGGGTGCCTTCTTTGACACCCTCCTGGCATCAGGCCATCGTCCCTGTGTCGCTGCTACGAACCCCAAGTACAGCTATTTGTATGTGCCCATTGCAAAGCAGGCGAACGGTGCAGACCTGCGACTTCTGTACGACCAGACGACGACAGGGCTTACCTGGCCCGAGCTGACCAGGCACTGCAACGAACTTGCTGAAAGGCTATCTGTCAGTGACAGTGTGTGTGCGGCTGTCGAAAAAAGAACAAGAGGCCAGTCAGCGTCACGGCTCTGGTCTTTGTACAGGACAGGAAGGGTGACAGCGTCTGTACTTGGTGCTGTTTGCCACACAAACCTTGAAAAGCCCGCTGCAAGTCTCGTCAATAAGATTTGTTATCCTTCGAAGCAAGTACTCCGCGTCCCCGCGGTAGAGTATGGCAGAAGAAATGAGCGAAAAGCTCTTGCGAAGTACAAGTCCTTGTTTAAAGCTGCACACGAAGATGCCATCTTTAAGGAAGCCGGACTATTTATCGTCAAGGAACACCTGTTCCTTGCAGCAACTCCCGACTTGTTAGTGGAGTGCAGCTGCTGCGGACCAGCGGTGGTTGAGGTGAAATGTCCCTGGACGGTGCGGGACACCAGTTTGGCGGATCTCTACAAGGACCCAAGGGGCCCGGTGATCGAGGTCGACAAAGCACCAGTCCTGAAGGAATCTCACGATTACTTTTATCAAGTACAAGCTCAGATGTTGGCCTGCAACGTTCCCCATGCAGATTTCGTCCTCTGGAATGAGCGTGAAATCACCGTCGAACGAATTGCCAGGAATAACCAGTTCATCGCTTCGAAAGTAGCAGCAAGCAAGAAATTCTTCACTGAGGTGCTGCTTCCCGAACTGGTTGCTCACTGGTTTACCAGACAGAAAGAAAACCAGCGACCAGCTCAGGGGGTGCCAGCAACAGACGACGATCAGACAACTTACTGTGTGTGCAAGGGCCCCGATGAGGGCAAAATGATTGCATGCGATGGAGAGAACTGTGCTGTGAAGTGGTTCCACTTTTCGTGCGTGGGACTCAAAGCAGCACCGAGAGCAAAACAATGGTTTTGTAAGGCATGTCCAAAAAGGCGTACGAAGAAGCACAAGTAGTATGTGCACAGAGAGGAAGGGACATTGTTTTGCCTGCCATAAACTCGGTCGGAAATAAAAACAACATGTATAACGATGTCACACAGCAACTGAAAGTTTTATTTCTTCAGACAGTTGTGTTAGCATGGAGTACAACTAGTCCCGTGGGACAACCGAACTGCACAGATTTGCAAGGGCACAGCACACAACAGCAATTTTGTCAATTGGTGTACTACCATCTGCGTCTGCTCGCAGCATTTCATTTGGGAGAGTGCCCCTGAGTATTGTATACTTGTTCCGAACCAATCCGATCACGCGCTCAAAATGAATACGAACGTTTGCCAACTCGCGGGTAGATTCTACTTCTATGCTGCACAGTTGTTCTCTTCCTTTCGTAAAGGGGGGAATGTGTAGCGTCGCACAACACAGACCCGACACTTTCACTGATCAAAAACCCTCGATCTGCAAGCACCACATCTCCAAACTCAAGAAGGTGCAGTACGCCACTGTGCTCAGTAATACTTTTGTCACTGGCGCGTCCACCATACGCTTTCGACAGAAAGGTGACGCTTCCCTGAGGGCATATTCCTATCAAAAACTTCACCGTATTATGGTGCTTGTAATGAGACCATGTAGCAGCTCGTACAACAAGAGATGTTGGTCTGTCAATATAAACCTCAAAACAGTCAAGAATCACTCTAACCTTTGAGCCGAAGTTTTCAATGAAGGCCATAGACATAGTTTTCACAACTTCTTCTTTGGTTGGCCATTGAATCAGTGGATTCAAGCGATAAAAAAATCCATTCAGCCACTTCCTCCACACTCTCGAGATGGCTGGCTGCGACACACCAAATCGGTACGCTAGGTCTTGCTCGGGAGCATTCAGCCGGAGTCGAACCAAACACACCATCATTTCTTCGAACTGTCCCAGAACATTTTGGCCCGAGTGTGCTACATGGCCAGCTACCTGCTTAAAAATGGTCAAAAGAGCAAGGAAAGAAGGCAGCCCCGTGTAAAATGACACCTTCTCATCGTGCCCCTGAAGAGCCTCCTCCGTGAACTGTGTGCCCTCGAGGGTTTTCTTCGTTTGATCAAGCTCCTCGGTGAGGCGGGAAACCTTGTCCTCGAGTGACTGTACATCTGACCCTGCCAAGTTGGTTTGGCATGATTTGTCTGCGTGTAAGAGAATGGAAATCATCACACATATTCCACAAAATACTTATTGACACATGCAAAGTACACCATAACCAAATAACTGGAAATGTTAAAAAAGAAAAGGAAATGATGACGTACCTTGAAGTGTGCTCGACATTTCTTCACCACCAGGACTTGCACAGGTCTCACCAACAGGCGAAGGTGAAGCCACAGAAGCATGACTAGAGAGACCTAACAAATATTTAATAAATTTAGACACTCTCTGGACAGGCAGGAAAAAGCATGTGAAAGATGTCCCTACCTTGACTGGGGGCGGTCCGTTTTTGATGCCGACGACGACTCAGCCGTACGTAGCGACCTGAGTGCGGGCCGTCGAGCGTGGATGCATAACCCAAATGTTGGCTAGGTGCCCAGTCAGGGTTGCAGCCGTCAAAAAGATCGGCCGCTGCCCCTGCACAATGTAAAGAATCGATCAAAAGACGTCTAAAGGGGAGAACACGGAACAGCTGTCCGATTTTCCGCCGGAGCAGTGGCACCCCTTAAAGATTGCTGCAAGGCAAAAATAAAAACAGAAAATCGTGCTCATGAATGTAAAATAGTTATCTAAATCCTGTTTCTCCCGCTCCTGCGACAGAAAGCTCGCATTCGAGTGTTTTTAAGATCCTTTAGAATGACTGAACCAACTAACTTCGATCGAACTTGCGCTGCAAGTAGGCCTAGCCCACTGATTCGAAAAGCTCCAGGAAGTTAATGTCAGAGAAAAACAAACTATGCCGACACTCACCCGAGACGAAGTGGCGTGAGCACACCTTGTACTTGTCGAGGTCAGCGTCCAGGTCTTTTCTGTTGATGCGTTTCAACCATTCTCGCTGTCTCCTCGCGGACAGTGTTCGCGTCGTGTCGCATTCACGAGTCCGTACCTTCGGTATTTTAAAGAACCGAGCGTCTGCGACCTTGCACTCTTTCTTCTTCTTTGACGATTGCGTCTTGTTGTGGCAACCTACCACCACACACGACACCATACCCGAGGCAGAAAGCGCGGCTGCGGCTTCGCCTGAAGTTTGAAAAGGTAGGATGCGGTTGTCCGTACGCGACTGTGCGACTGTCTGCTCCCGAGGACGGCAAGATGGCGCTGGTCCCAGCATGCACCGCTTCACGAATACAACCTATATCTGTCATGCCTGTTGCCAAGCGCATATTACTAACTTGCTTCACTGGTTATAGTGACTCCAATAAACAAATCCAGAAGGCAAAGTTCTTTGTAAACAAAATATGAACTGAAAAGCATGGACGGACTTTCCCGTAATGTCAACATTGTTGTAAAGATATTTAGACAGCAGAACATGAGCCTTCCTTTAAGCAATGGCTCACTCATAGTATTGTTTACTGTATGGCGAGCCCAGTGCGCAAAAGAACTTGTCCATTAAAGGGACACTGACAGGGTATTTATGCTCGCCGAGGTTTTTAGTTGTACGTTACATATGAGAGCTCAACTACCCAGAACAGAATTTGCGGCTCGAAATTCGGTTTCTTTCCGCCCGAAAACCGCCGATCAAGAACTGGCCGGTTCGAATCTCGCTCACTCTCTTTTTCGCGGTCACGGGTCGTTTTCTAAGGTATCGATGCGACCACCAAATTTAATCAAAGTCGTGGGTCACTGAAGGCACACACTCAGTATTAAAAATAGAAAAAAATATGAAACCCATTTTTTGTGGCTTCTAAAAAGCTGCAAATACGTTGATTGAAAAAAAAAGTTCCACAGACAACCGGAAGCATTCTGTGTGTTCGTCGTTTCGCGTGTCGTGGGACTCGCGGGGACGGCGATGGCAGCGGACGACGGGCGTGGGACCTCTATTTCAGAACTGTCGATCGCGGTACCGGCGAATTCTGTCTACCTTTAAAAGAGAAATTTGAGACTGATCAAAAGAATTGGTATTCATCCCGTACGACACGCCCGACCACCAAGCCGATTTGCACCACGACGTCGCCGAGCCGTCGCTCCCTTCTCGTGGCTAAAGACATCGCTCGCGTGTCTACTTCACGACGATTTAGACAAGCACGACGTGGCTACTTCGAGTTGAATATGCACGCGTACGATTGCTTTACTAGGTGCGAATGTCGCCAATGCGTGGTGCTTCCCGACTTCGACCCGGGTGTGCTTTTGCTAGAGGAAAATCGGCAGCAAACTTTCCAACTTACAGTTTATTGGCTGAATTATTACTAATGAAAGAGATTCACCACCAGAGAGATGCCCCAGTAGCTCAGTGGGAAAGACGTCCGCTTCAAACGCGGTAGAACCGGGTTCGATCCCCCGTAAAACTTGTTTTTTTTTTTTTTTCAAACATTTTTTTTATGTTTTCATATCCTTTTTTTTTTTTTTTTACAATTATCACTGAAGAAACCCACAGAAAAATAACAAACAAATGTTGTGGACGACACTTCGCTGAATTAAATGGTACGAGATTTCCGTTTTGACACCTGCGAACTCAATGTAATCACTTTCCACAAAATGCAAGGAGCATATAAATCAGGTAGCGTCCGCTTTCCGAGGTGCCCGTATATGTTCTACAGGAATTGCAGCCAGCCTTTGATCACAATTCCGCTGATCTTTCGGAAACTCTGTCGCACAATGCCCCTTTTTTTTTCGAACGCAGGACATGTGAGCCAGCTCTTCACGCAACATCTTGGGTGTATTCTTTTCGGAGCCGATCATGAAAATTCACCACGGGCACTTACTACTCATCCTCCAACTCCTCAATGTACAAAACAACTCATCTTGGAGTACAGAACGACGAGCGGAACAAACATAACTGCAAAAGAATCGCACGGCAAGCAGTTCCCGCACGCCGCATCGCACGGCGCATGTCGTGTCGTCTGCTACGAAGAGGAGAAAAAAAAAATCACGGTCGGGTGTAGCCACGTGACTTCCGCCACTCACTCCCTTCTCTCCACTTCTCCGACCTCCGTCGGGTTTCAGTTTCGGTTTCGAGCAGTTGCGTCTTTTGGCTTTATTAAAACAAATACGCTACTCTGTTGCAATATATTAATTGGGTAGTCCTCCGACACCATAATGAAGCGCCTGGCAAAAGATGGAAAACAAATTTTGGGGGGTGTCAGTGTCCCTTTAACACACACCACATACCAGTGGCACAAAAGAACATATTTTTTGTCTCCACCTGGAGAACAAAAGAAAAAAAAAATGAATACCGATTCGGCACATAAAATAGTTGTCCATTAAACTAAATTTATACGTGGCTGGACTCGGCGGAATTAGGCTCGGCGGTGCTGGGCTCGGCGGTGCTGGGCTTGGCGGTGCTGGGCTCGGCGGTGCTGGGCTCGGCGGTGCTGGGCTCGGTGGGGCGGGGCTCGGCAAGGCTGGACTAGGCTGGGCTGGAGGGGTGACTGGGCAGGGCTCGGCAGGTTTTGGCTTCGCTGGGCTCGACTTATCTCGGCAGTCAGCAGCAGAGCAACCTCGACGAGCACGCGGGTCGTGCTTTGAAGTTCCAGTGCCACCGCCTGTGCGGCGCGAGCTTGCTCCTGGTTCGCCTCCGCAACAGCCTCCATGCGGTGGCTGAGAGTTTCGATGGTACGCAGGAGCTGGAAAGGCGGGGCATATTCAATGCGCAGCAACAACATATTGCCGCGCGCGCTGGCCAAGTAGGCAGCGCGCGCTTGGCCTAATGGTTATCGCGCCTGGCTCCCACGCGAAAAGCTAGGGTTCGAATCCTCGGAGCGACGTGTCTTTTGTTTATTCCTGTAACTTCGTGTTCTGGAGAATTCGAGAATCATGTTGCTTGTTCCAGGCCCGAATGTTCTACGCGTCAAAGTTTCTACGCCGATTATTCCCGAAGATCACGCATGTACATAAGGGGCTCCGCGTGGCGAGCCGCAGTCAGTTTCGCACCAGCGTTCGACTCTGTTGCTACGCCGACTTCGACGCCCGCGACGCTCTGTTATTATCTTTTGTACTCGTTTATTTTTTTGGCACAAGTTCGCCACATTAAACGTTTATTTCTTTCTGTTTATTTCCTGTTTTTTGTTTGGTCACCACCCGTGACATTTGGTGGAGGTGCGGGGTACCGCATGCCCCTGCCGCGTACCCCTCCGAGGGCCCACAGTGCAAGTCCGACGCCTAGCCCACGAAGAACCGACGAAAGCACTTCCGAGATCCGGTTCAGTCGTCGCACCCAAGGTCTACACCCGGAATTCGGACCTCTACCGCCCAAGACTAAGCAGCCAACGAGGCCAACGATGGACAGCCAGTCGTCCCAGAACCCGTCCACCGCCAGCGTCGTATACCTGCCCGTCGCACCCAAAACTCCGACGCCTTTCCACGGAGACACCCACGAGGACATCGAGGACTGGCTGCAACATTATGAAGGTGTGGCCCGACATAACGGGTGGTCAGCTGAGCACTGCTTGCAGAACCTTTACTTCTCGCTGGAAGGTACTGCAAGGTACTGGCTGAAGAACCACGAGGCTTCTTTAACCTCGTGGGAGGTGTGCAAGCAAGAGCTAGTGGATACGTTTACCAGTTAACACCGACGCGTGAGGGCCGAAGACATCCTTCGAACAAGGACCCAAGGTCCGAATGAAAGCATCACCAGCTTCGTTGAGGATGTTCTTCGCCTGAGCGCCCGCGCCGATCCTCAGGCTACAGAGGAGAAGAAGCTGCGACACCTGATGAGGGGTGTCAAAAGCGAGATATTCGGAGGTCTCATTCGCAATCCTCCGACAACTGTCGACGGGTTCGTCACGGAGGCGACGAATATGGAACGTGCGCTACTAGCACGCGCCAGACACTACGAGCGGCACCCTGGCGTGACTACTCTGGCGACATCCGGATACGACCTTGGTAGCGACCTCCCAGGCATCCGTGACATCATCCGTGAAGTCGTCCGGGAAGAAATCCGCAAGATGCTCCCCGCTACGGATCGCTCGTCCTCCCTGTCGCTCGCCGAGGTCGTCCGAGAGGAAGTCCACCGAGCCTTGCAACCTGAGATTCCGATCAAAACGACGACGCCAGAGGAGCCTATTTTGAGCTACGCCGCCATGGCCCGAAGATCGCCGCAAGCTAACCGCCAGACCACGGTGCCACCCCGACGAGACCCTCAGATGCCACAGTATCCTCGACGCCAGGAAGGACAAGTCCATGACGTTCGCCCGGAGCAACCCTCGTCGAGGAAGACCGACGTGTGGCGAACGGCCGACCGACGCCCGCTCTGCTACCACTGCGGGGAAGCCGACCATGTGTACCGCCGATGCCCATACCGACGACTCGGGCTGCGCGGATTCCACCCAAACGACCCGCGCCCCCGGTGTGGTGAACGCCCTCGGGAGATCGACGAGTACCTGCGACGACCACAGTCCCCCGAGCCTGCGTCCCGCCGAGAGTTCCGGTCGCCATCGCCACGACGTCCAGCTTCGCCGATGCACCGACTCCGACGTGAAAGCCTGTCGCCCCTCGCTCCTCGCCGGGGAAACTAGGCGCGGCAACCCCTGGAGGTGGAGTTGCCGAAGACGACCGACGTAAAGAGCCTCCAAAAACGCCGGAGCGCTCCCACTCTCCCGACGCCACGCATCGCTACGACGCCCCTGCAACGGTGTCCAACAACCTAAACGTCGTCATCGACGGTCACGACGCATCGGCACTCGTGGACACCGGAGCAGACTACTCAGTCTTGAGTGGGAGGCTCTCCCGCCGCCTTCGAAAAGTCATGACGCCGTGGGAAGGACCCCAAATACGAACCGCCGGAGGACATCTCATCACACCAGTCGGGAGATGCACTGCTCGTGTCGAGATCCACGGTGAAACGTGCCCTGTCAAGTTCGTCGTTCTGCAAGACTGTTCGAGGGACGTTATCCTCGGAATGGACTTTCTCTGCGAGTATGGCGCCGTCATCGACCTCGGAACAAACCGGCTGACGCTACGAAAACCTGCTCCACCAGCGGAGGAACCCGAAGCGACGTCACCCACGGTCCGAGTCCTCGCAAACCACGTAAACCTACCACCGCGGTCGAGTGTTTTCGTACTTGTCGGGATCGATGAAGCTTCCTGTGGCGAAGTTCTTCTCGAGGGAAGCCTCCAATTGCTCCTGGGAAGAGGCATAGGCGTCGCAAGGGGAGTAGCTGAACTTCAGGATGGGCGGACTGTGGCCCTC